TTGGAGCCAGACCCTGCGAATCTTTCCTAAAATAATCCCCCAGATACTACACAAGAGCTGAAGCCGAGCACGCCATGCGTTTCATCAGCGGAACCCGGCTGGATGACCGTCTTATCCGGACAGACTGGGATGTAGGATTCACAGAAGGCAGGCAGTATGGCCGTGGCAGGTCAGGCGGGCAGGTAAGGAAGGGTAGCTGGGAGGGGACTGTGCCTCGAAGGCCCCACTTCACCGAGGGTCCCCTTCCTCTGGAGAGCATGCTGAGCTGGGGGGGCTAGGTCCCCGAAGCACTGAAGTTTTTAAGTTCTGCCAGCAGAGGTCCCATAGCCTTTGGAGATCGAGTCATCCAAGGGCAGAAAAATGTACGTTTGGATCTTATCTTCTATACCGTGTAGCCTTCCCTCACCTGGTGGTCTCTGGGGATGTTGGGGTGACGTAAGTCCCCCAATTCCTACATCTACCCTTTATGGGAGGTTGTCCATCCCCTTTTCTTTGGGAAAGGTTGCCCTTTCAATTGTTGTATAACTCCCTGGCTTACAAGGATGGAGGCTTCATCCATACCTGAGCTCTGCCTTGTTTTCCATGTAAAGTCCTTGAGTTACACGAGCCAAGGGAGGCTGCGTCAGGGCTGTAGAGAGAGCAGGAAAGGAAACCCTGCCAGTTGCGAGCTGCTTCCAGGCCAGGCTGCTTTCAGAATGTGCTTTGCAAGCTTCTTCCCGAGAGACCTTCCAGGGCTGGCTTTCACAGCCCCCATCCAGAATTGAGGGTAGCTCCTATTTGATAAAGTCTGGGATGCAGACAGTTCCGTGGCTGGGGTCAGCTGGATTTTATCTTGGTTTCTCCTTTCTCGCTATCCAGGTAAGAGACGAGTACCGAAAGGACTATGATGAAGGAAGAGGCGGCTTTGGCAAGATTATCCAGCAAGCGTTGCTGAAAAGTAGAGGGGAATTTTAATAATTTGGATGGAAGGCAGGGAGGAGAACTAAGTGCAGCTCGTATCTCCTTGGACAGCTGGATAGAAGGGAGGGAGAAAGGGCTGGCTCTCTTCTGTTTTTTTGGCAAGGTGTAGTTTTCCTCACCTGCCACTCTTTTTATGATTATCCTGACCTGACTCGGGATATGGCCCAAGGGGGAAACAAGGGGTGGAAAGAAATTGGAAGCTCAAAAAACCATTTTTTGTTTCTTTTCACTTTTCCTGTATGCTGTCATAGTGGTTGTAATGTTCTGGGGTGTATAAACTGTCCTTAATGTTTAAGGGGACAAATAAAACTGGAATAAAAGTGTAATTGGTCTGAAGAGACTGCTTTCTTGGGTGTCCTGTTCCCTTCTCAGGCAGACCTGTGTAGAGGGAGAAGTAGTGTAGCTTGGGGCAGGAATCGGCGCACCCGAGGATGCCCACGGCAACCCACAGAACCCAATGTCTCCAGCAGGCCTCTCTCTGGTTTTGTCTGGATGCGGCTGACTGCAGCCTCTCAAATGAGCAGCAGCCCAGGGCGGTGGGCTCGGAGGGCTTGCAGAGACTTTGGGGGAAGGAAAAGGCACGCCAGGAAGGGGGCCCTGCTGTAGTGTATCCATGCGGAAGTCGGCACCCAGGAAGACTGAACGGGCCTTGAATTTGTGAGGGTGATTTTGGAGGGGAATGTTTTTGTAGATTCAAGGTCTGGCCAGCAGGAGGCGCTAGAGCAAGGCCTGGGCCACCCCGCCCATCGATTTGTATTGATTTGGTTTGTCAAGCAAGTATTCGAAAACAGGTATAAGTGTGAACACGGTTATGCGCACACGACATGGATAGGAATAACACGGAAAGCGTCGGTCAGGGGCGCTTCTGCCCGCCCCCTACCGCCCTCTTCGGAAGGGGGTGAGGTCAACGGCAGACTGGCTCTGGTTCAAGGGCTTGGGATCGTCTCCAGACCACGGGCTGGACTGGGCTGGGCTGGGCTGGGCGCCTGGTTTTGAGGACCAGCAGCAGCAGCAGCTCCCCCGGGACAAGGGGGCCCCCGAGCCTGGCGCTCCGCCTTCTCTGCCTTCGGGATGTTCCGGGGACGCGCTCCCTCCCTCCCTCCCGGGCAAGCCCCCTTCCTTGCTCGGCTGGCCCATGGTTTCCATGGCACGGCAGGACCAAGGAGGAGGGACTTCGGGCGGGGGGGGGAACCCGGGCTGAAGGGCCGGCAGATCCCCCGGAGTGGCCTTCGAAGGGGCGGTCCGGACTCCGCAATCCCCGTTTTTGAGAAGCCGCCTGTCTGCCTTCCCTCCCCGGCTGGAGCCCAACGACCGGAGCGCCGCTCCGCCGCCCGCCTCTGCCACGCAGATCCCAGGTTCGAAGACGGAGGGCCGCCGCCCGGCTCCCGTGCGGCAAGAACTCCCAGCGCCCAGCCGGGAGGCGCTTCCAGCGGGCAGCCTCGCCCCCCTCCAGCCCGCGGCCCGGGGGAGCCCGCCTGGAGGAGGCGGTCGCTGGCGCTCGGCCCGCCCCTCGCCCGCCTTAGATATCCCGCACGCCGCCGCCGCCGACTCCCTTCCTCCCTTCTTCGCCGGCTGCCGAGGAGCTGCGCGGCCGCGGCTGGTGAGAGGCGGCGGAGGCGGGCCGGGCCGGGGCGGGCGGGCTTGGGGAGGCTTCCCTTCGCGCGCCCCGCCCGGCGGGCGCCTGGTTGCAAGCCGAGCTCCGGGTTGCGTCAGCGCTGCCGGCGGAGGGTCAACAGGTGCCGCTTCGCCTGCCCGCGCGCCCCCCGCCCGGCTCCCAGCAGCCCGGTGTCGGCCAGGGAGCCCCGTTGCGGGGAGGCGGCGCCGAGTCTTTCCCCGTCTTGCTCCGTCCCGGCAAAGTTTCTGGCTTCCCCCGCGTGGAAGGAAAGGCGCGTCCCAGGCCGGGGCTCCTCGGACCTCCCAGCGGGGACTCTCCTGGCAGCCCGCGAGGGAAGCCCCCGGGCAGGCGGGGCGGGGAGTTCAGCCTGGCCGGCGGCCCTGCGCCGCTGTTTCCCAGCTGGGCTGCCCCCGGCTGGCTCCGTCTCGGCGGGCAACTCCGAGCCTCGGAGCGTCCGGCTGCTTTGCCCAGAGCCCCGGGAAAGTCCCGCCGCGGGAAAGGCTGCCGGCTCCCTGCCTCTCGTCCTTCCGAGCCTTTCCCGGCTGTTGCGGGCGGGGGCCGAGGGCGGGAGGAGCGGACTCCAGTCCTGCTGCTGGGCGTCCGGTCTGCCTTGCTTTCCCGGGGATTCGGGCAGGGAGCCCCCGCAGGCCGGGCCAGCAACGTCGCTGCAGGGCTTGCCTGCCTTTCATCTCGGCTTCTGGTCCCGAAAAGAGCCCCCTGCTCCTTGTGGCCTTCGACCTGGGAGGGCCTTCCGGGCACGGCTCCCCTTTCAGAGCCCAGGGCCAAGAAGTGGCAGGGAATCGGGCCGGGCACGTTCACACAAATGCCCCCTTCAGACGGGCCAGGCCCTTGTAGCCTTTGGGCCTGGCCAAGAACTGCTCTGGAAAGGGCATGTAGGTTTCTGCCTGGCTGAATGCAAACAGGTGTGTTCCTGCGCGGAATGTTAGTACCTCATCTGCCAGGTGCTGATTGCTGGAGAGGAAAAGGGAGCTGCGGGCAGGATGCTCCTTTGCAGGGAAAGGGGGACCAGGAGGCCCCAGGCCCCATCCCTTGGCGCAGCTGACTTCATTAGTGCTGCCTGGCAGGTTGGGCTTCACAGACCTGGGCTTGGGAAGGGCTTGGAGCCGCTGCAGAGACGCCAGAAGCAGTTCCCGTGAGAGACTCTTCTGGGTTTCTGCATTCGTGGTGGTCCCAGGCCATGCCGGGTGCAGGTGATTGCTGGAAAAAGGGGGCACCAAGAGGGTCAGCGATACGGCTTGGCTACAGGCATGGGAGCCGAAGAGGACTAGGTGGAGGGGCATTTATAGTGCAAAGCTTCCCATGGGGCGGGGGCGGGGGTGGGGTGGGGGCGCAGCTCTCTTTCGTTCTGCGAGAACCGTGAAATATTCAGGCTTGGATCACGGTCTGGCTGAGATGGAGCACCAGCCTAGCCTTGTCCTTTCCCAGGTAGGATCTTGAATTATTTGCTGTTCCTGTCCCTGAATTCTGGCAGCCTCTGAAGGACCCCAGAACAGTTACATAAAACGAGACTAACCATCAGATCACCACCACGGCACCCAGACAGTGCAGGGAACCAGGATCTTCCTGGTTTCATAAGTCACACTAAGTCATAGATTGCTTACCCATAGCTTGTTTGACAAACTGGTTTGGCTGGTTTCGTACCCTGTGCCTGCCAAGCCGTCAAAGCGTGCCATTGTGGGCACCCGTGAGGGATCTCACCTCCGGAGAATCACCACCGGGCCCACCGGGGGGTTATCCTTCTGCTTACTCTTCCCTCTGGGTCCTGGCTGCGCTGCGGATGGCAGGGGGCGGGGGTGGGAATGCCAGGGGTCTTCCTCCCTGGGTGGGCTTGGGGGTTAGGGGGCAACCTTTCATCGAATCGTCGGGCCACTGCCTGCACAGCCATTAGGGGGCAGAGAGGAGGCCGGCCGGGCAGCCTCTCCCCCGTCCGTCCGGCTGATGCAACCCGCGATGCAGCTTCTGCTCGCCATCTGTCTCTCTCGGGACCTTTGGCCAGTTCAAGCTCAGGGGCCGATGTCCTGCTTTGCAGCCTCTGCCTGCCAAGAAGCTGCCGCTGAAGCCGCCGCCGGGCAGCTCTTTTCTGCCAGAACTGGCAGGTCTGTATTGGCAGGGTGATGCCCCCGTCCGTCACATGGGCACGGAGCGGCTCATCAGCACGTTCCCAGCCAGCCCCACGGAGAGGAAGGAGCCTGGGGGATATTTAGCCACCCTTTGGGAAAGGGCCGGGGGAAAGAAGGCCAGGGGCTGCTTGGGAGAGAGGACGGGATTAGGGGTGAAGGCTGTCCCATAGAGCAGCACCCCCCACCCCCAACCTTACGGGCACCAGGGGACGGTTCCGTGGAGAAAGGTCTGGTTTCGCAGGCTGCCTGTATCTCATGGCTTCGCTTGTTTGCACGGCTGGCATGCCACGGATTGGTGCTGGTGTGGGGGGCGGTTGGGGAGGAGAGAGCAGGGGTGCTTTTAGCGGCTTCCCAAGGGAAGAGGGAGAAGAGGCCCTTGGCCTGGAGGAGGAGGAGGAGGAGGAGGAGGAGGAGGAGGAATGGCCACTGAGGGTGGGCCAGCCATGCGGTGGCACGTTCCCTGCTTCAGGACAGTTTGGGGCTACTCCCTGCGGCCCTCTCGGACCTGGGAGATTGACTGAGTCGGAGAGCGTGAACTGCGCCACCAGCTGCACTCAAAACAGTCGCACTCCGGCGCTGCTTTTCCTCTCGCAGGTGCTTCCCCCCCCCCCCCCGTTCCCCCCAAAGTACGCATCATTTTCTAATAAGTTACGGCCGGTGAGCAGGAAGGCATAAAGAGCCACCTCCCGTGTCCACATTCCCCTGTTGGGACTCCTAATGGGTTGGCAGCTGTCAGAGCCCTTCCGGGCGTCTGCCAGGCTGGGCGAAAGGGGGGCTGTTTTCCTCTCCGCTAATTTAAGGAAGAGAGAAATGGAAAAGCTCAAAACCTCCTACAAAGGAAAGCCAGCCTTTCCTGCACCCGGGAACGTGTTAAACGCAAGAGAGGCATGGCAGGCCCTGCGCAAAGTGATTTCTCAGCACTACCGAAGCCCCTTTTGCCTTGATCCGCCTTTAGAAAACAAGGAAGGTGCTGAAGTGACTCGCCTGCCTCTTCCCTGCCAGGGAGGGGGCAAACGGGGGGGGGGGGGGGGGCCCGGGGGGGGGGCTGCCGTGAAAGGGGGGGGGGGGGGGGGGGGGGGGGGGGGGGGGGGGGGGGCTTCCCAAACGTGCCAGTTGGGCACCTGCGGGCCCAGCGTTGGCCCCGAGGGTGGATCTGTGGCCTGACCCGGCTGGTTCTGCAGGTGCCGGACTCTGCGCTCCCTGGGTTGCTTTACGGGTTAGCTGGGCTCCTCTCGTTTTCTGGCTCAGGGGGACTCTAGCAATGAAACCACAGGGAGGCTTTCTCAGTGGGGGATCCCAGGGCAGGACGGGCGGCTCCCAGCCCACTGAGTGGGGCCAGTCTCCACCTTTGTTGCACGGGAGGACAGGGCCTCCTGCTCTCGGAGGGTCCAGGAATGAACGTGCCTCACCACGGCCAAGACCCTGAAGCGCCCTCGGCCTTTCCTGCATGCACAGCTCAGCCTGGGAGGAGTCAGCCGGCCGGGCCCTTCCCTTCCCTTCCAAGCGGCCCAGGACGTCTTCTCCGCCTCGAGAGCTGCTGGGCAGGGGCAGGGGAGGCAGCCATGGGTGCTTCGGCACCCTCAACCCCTGTCAGTGCCTGCTTGCTTGCCTTGGGCTCCCCCTTCCCAGCAGTAACCTTGGCTATAGGGCAGTGGCTGCTTCTGCCTCTCTGCCCAGCCATGGCTGCAAACCCTGAGCTTCTGCCTCCCTGTTGGCTATGAATTGGCCGGGCTGAGGCTTCCGAGGCTCCGCTGCTTCCTGCTCGAGTGGCAGTTTGGCGGCCCTCGGGCAGGTGCTTTGCTAACGGGGCGGTTAGGGAGGTGAGGCCGGTAAGGACCTTGGAGGGAGGAGGTGGGCAGCCCTGTAAGGTTCAGACCCCTCTCCTTTTGGAGCCCCCCCCCAATTTGCGTGGACTGCAGTTAGTATCCTGCCCCCCCCCCATCCCTGTATAAGCCCTGGAGGCAGCCCTGCTGGGCCAGCCAGGATGCCAAGCGGGCAGGAGCAGCGCCCAGGAGGCTCCTCCAAGGAAGCTTCTCCGCCACCCAGAGGAGGATGTTCTGTGGACATTCTCACGTCCTCCCTGGCCACTCGGGGAGAGAGGTCCCATGTTGCAAGCAGCCCTGGCACCTGGGCTCGCTTTCCATTTGCCAGCCCTTCTGCCATGCAGCTAGCTGAGCCAAGCTGGTCTGGTCTCCCCCTCAGTGCCTCTCCAAAGGTCCGGCCGGCCCTTGTGGGTGGAGGATTCCTGCTTCTCCTCTTCAGGGGCCTTGTCTTGCGGAGATCTCCCCAGGGCCCCCTGGTGCCCCCCTCTGCTGGGACCCAGCAAGGGCAGGCCAAGGGAGACCCCTCCTCTGCTGCACCGGCCCTCCCTTGCTAGCCAAATAGTGAGACGTTGGGCTGCCTGTCCTGTATTTTGGGCTGGCGGTCCCTGGCACCCCTCTTGGGGATCCGTCTCCCAGCTGACGGGAGTCAGACTGGAAGCTTTGACTCATTCTGATGAGCCGCGTACCTGGTTCGGCCTTGGCTTATCCGTGATGGCAAGGAATCTCACCTGGACTCCAATAACCAGCCAGTTCTCCTGGCTTGCAGCCTCCATCCGGAAAAACCAAGTCCCCTCCTCCACTTTGATCTGGAGTGCCTGGAGCTCTGGGCCTGGCCAGGGAGTTTGGCAGGTCCCCTCGTCTGCCGGGGCCCTGGGGCATCCGAGCCCTCCCGCCTCAGGTGTCTGCTTCCATGCCAGATGCCTTTTCAGCCCCTCCCCCCAAGTGGGCAATGGCCACAGGAGCAGAAGCATCATGAAACTGGCCGGCAGCCCTTCCGAGGGCACCAGACTCCCGAGGCGGGCAGGTTTTGATGCTTAGTTGTGCTCCATCACTCCTGACAGCAGCTCCGTGACGGGACAAATGAACCGACACAGCTGGGCTTTTGCCCTGCCTGACAAACAGCCTGGAAGTGCTGACTGGGGAAGGAAGCGTATCAAAGCTTTGTCTGCTGCCTTTTGTAGGGATTTTCTGGTGCGTCGGAGTGTGTGATCCCAGAAGGTCACGCCAGGCTTGACCGGCCAGGTGGTGGGAATGCTTCCCCTCCCCCACCCATGGCCTCGGAGGGGGGGCTGGCGGGGCTTTTCTCCCTGCGTTCATGGGAACCTCTGGCCAAGGCAGTTTGGGCGCTGTGCCTCGTGGGAACTGTGGTCGCTGCCAGCCGGGGGCCAAGGCTCCGGAGTTTTGCTGGCACAGAGCGGAACCTGGCACTTGGTCCAGTTTCTTTGCTGGGAGCTCTTTCCGTTGTCTTCCACTGGGCTGCAGGACAGACGGCTGAGCAGATCCACTGCGGCGGCCTTGTCTTCCGTCTTAGAAGGAACCTGTTGCGAGACCACAGATCCTTATAGCTCCCAAACTCTTGAGATGTAAGGGAAAAGCCTGAGGTCTCTAAGGAGGAAATCTGAGCCATGCAACCCTTGGAGACCCCGGAAGACCCACCCATCTCCCCAGGGATCCTGAAGTTAACTGCCCCCCCACCCCCCCCAGTCCGAATAGCCGAGAGCAGCTGCGTGTCAGGCCTGGGATGAAGGGGGCCAGGCTGACGGATGGGATGAGGGCCGGTGCGGGGAGGGCAGAGATGCATGCGACGGACACAAACGGAGTGAGCTCCTGCCTCCCTCCTCCTCCTCCTCCTCCTTCCGGGGCCAAGGAAGGAGAGGAAGCTCACCAGGGATAAATGCAATTAGTTCAGGTCAGGCTCTGCAATATTTGATTTTGAAACCGGGATTCTGCGTCTTTGAATTGCTGCTGTTTTTCCGGATCTTGCTCATCTGATTTTTGTTTCCTTCCGTTTGGTTCCCTTAAGAGATCCAGCTTGGCTCTTCTGCTCGCCCAGGCGTGGTCCCTTATTTCTCAGCTCCTGCAGGGCACCTGGAATGGTCTCCCCCCCCCCCGCCCCCCACCCCCCGGCAGAGGAAAGAGATGAAGGCCATTCAGCTCCCCTGACTGTCGTTCAGGAGAGAGGAAAGAGCCGCTGCCTCTGGCCTCTCCCTCTGGACAGAGCCATCCATCAGCGGGCCAGGGGTGGGCCAGGCCCCGCATCGATCGGAGGCACAGCCAAAGACAGGCCCTTCCTCCCTTGCCCCAACCGACTGCCCCAAACGGGCCAGGTGCATCTCCCAGTAAAGGTGCCATGTCTGTGCCACTCTAGGAAAGCCGAATTCCCCGCTTGGCATTCAAACCCAGAGGGAGAGACTGAACAGCTCCTGGACTGGTCCTGGGTGCAAAAGCCATCCTCTTCTTTCTTCACGGCCGCCCCCTCCCCCCCTTTCCTCACAGGTGTAGGTGCCAAGCTTTTCTCTGATTAATGAGTAAAGTCTAAGCCAGGTTTGCAAATGGAGCTAAGTTATAAATCATGGTTGACAAAGCATTGTGGTTGAGTTCCCAGAATTGACGAAGCCCAAATCACGCCAGACCCAGGACGCAGCCTGTTGAATGGCAGGAGCCACCGCCTTGCTGGCGAGAGGGACCAGCGCTGGGCAATGCGAGGAGGGGGAGGAAAACGAGGCAAAATCGGTGTGGGGGGGGGGGGGAGACGCGTTCTGCATAATTCCACCCTGAAGCCTCATCTTGCCCTGCGAGTCACATGCTGGGCCTGATGACGCGCTTGAGGGTCTCTTCCAGCCTGGCTGAGCAGCTGAAGTTTGTTCTGTCGCCTGTTAACCGAAGTTCAGCTGGTTAATGACTGAAGGTGCCTCCCTGATGCTTATTCCAGCGAGCAGCTTGTGTAAACACAATTAATCCAAGTTGTCTTTTAAAGGGCTGTTTTTCTTTGCCAACTTCTGCAGGGGCCAGTGATGCATAGAAGTGTAATGTGTAACCACAACTGGTGACTTTGGCCGCTTTGGCTGGACGGCTTTTTCCTAAGATGGCGGTCTTGTTCCTGGTACTCTCTCGGCTTTCCAAACGTAGCCTGAAGTCCTGGTTCCTTTACGGTTGCCAGATAGGTGGACGGGGCAGCCGGGCACCTTGGATCTCCGCTCCTCCAAAAGCGTCACTTCCAGAGTGATCTTTGGGAGCCTGGACTGGACTTTCTCGCCATTATGGCCCGAGTGGGATTCCTGTGGAATCCACCTGGAGATGGAGCAAGGAGGCTTTTCAGCCAGGCAGGAGATGCCCACAAACAGAGTTGACCCTGAAAGAAGGAAGGGGAGCAGCCCAGCGCCGCCCCTCCTCCCCCCCAAGGCTGGGTTGGGTCTGCACAAGCCTCCCATCTTGATTTCCTGTGACTGCAGGCCTTCCTGCCCCCTGCTGGCTGACAGGCTCTACTGTTTCCTCCGCCAGGTCCTTTCGGGCAACGGGACTTGCACTCCACTCGCCAGGATGCTGAAGAGAACCTTGGCCAACTTTGGCAAGAAGCTGATCCGTCAGCGGACCGTGGACCTGGGCTCGCAGGAAACGCAGCTGGCCCGCTGCCTCTCCACCGTAGACCTGATTGCTCTCGGCGTAGGCAGCACCCTTGGGGCCGGGGTCTACGTCCTGTCTGGCGAGGTGGCCAAGGACCAGGCTGGCCCCTCTATTGTGCTCTGTTTCTTCATTGCGGCCATCTCGTCTGTTTTGGCTGGCCTGTGCTACGCAGAGTTTGGCGCCCGGGTGCCCAAGGCTGGTTCTGCCTACCTCTACAGCTATGTCACCGTGGGGGAAATTTGGGCTTTCACCACGGGGTGGAACCTCATCCTCTCCTACATGATAGGTACATCGCCTTCCGCTGGGCGCAACGACGGCTGAATGAGGACGTGGGAATGCAGGAAGCGCAACCGGGGTTTGCTTGCTTGCTTGCAGCATGAAATGAGGGATTAGCTCAAGTTCACCACAGGCTGAGCCCTCCCTGAATGGTGATGGTTCTTCTGTGGGATTTTTCCTCAGGTAGTCCAGCAAATACGCCAAAACATGAACTCATCAAAGTTGCAGGACAAGCCGCCTTAGAAATGATCTGCAGTGTTTTCCAGACCCCCCCAAATTGAATGTCCTCATAATTGTTAGTCGAGGGCATTGATGAGAGCCAAGAAAAGGACTCTCACCTGTAGAAACCAGGTTCAATTATCGGCATACAGTGCCCTTGTTCCTGATAAGCAATGATTTGGACCCCTGGAGCTTTCAGGTTCCCTTCTGGCTCTCCCGGTGGGCTGGGTTGGAGGGGACCAGAGCAGGAATGGCAGAAGCTGTTCAACAACAGAATAATAATAATAATTCTTCTTCTTCTTCTTCTTCTTCTTCTTCTTCTTCTTCTTCTTCTTCTTCTTCTTCTTCTTCTTCTTCTTCTTCTT